GGAAACTCCCCTTCAACAGACTGGCCACTCAGAACACAGTCATCCGATCCCATCATGGGAACAACCACACAGAACTGGGGTCCAGCCAAGTTGACACACAGCTCCAACTATCACAATGCCCTTTATTATGCTGAGTAATTTCCCTTCTACTCCTATTTTGCTGAGAGTTTTTATCAGGAATGGGTGTTGGATTTTATCAAACGCCTTTTCTGCATCACTTGATATAATCATGTTGTTCTTTTAATTTTTCTTATGTGATGGATAACGGTTGTTTTTCTAGTGTTGAACCATTCTTGCACACCTGCTATGAACCCCAGTTGGTTATGGTGCATTGTTTTTTGATATGTTGTTGGATTTTGTCGAAGATTTTTACGTCTATATTCATGAGGGATGTTGGTCTGTAGCCTTCCTTTTCAGTGAGGTCTTTGCCTGGTTTTGGTATCAAGGTTATGCTAGCTTCATAAAATGATTTTGGGAGGATTCTATCATTTTCTATGTTCTGGAATAGTTTGAATAGGATTGGTGTCAGTTCTTTTCAAAACATTTGGTAGAAGTCTCCAGTGAAACCATCTGGGCCAGGACTTTTTTTTGTTAGTAATTTTTTATGACTTGTTCCAATTTCTTCTTTTGTTATGAGTCTGTTCAAATTTTCCACCTCAGTCTGTGTTAGTTTAGGTAAATAGTATGTTTACAGAAATTTGTCTATTTCTTCTAGATTTTCAAATCTGTTGGAGTATAGTTTTTCACATCAAAAAAACAAAACAAAAAACCCAACAAATTCACTGCCATCAAGTCAATTCCGACTCAGAGCAAACCCCACTGCGTTTCCAAGGCTGTAAATCTTTATGGAAGTAGATCTCCCCTTCTTCCTTCTGGGGAGTGGCTGGTGGGTATGAACTGCAAACCTTCTGGTTAGCAGCCAAGTGCCCTATCCACTATACCACTAGAGCTTCCCATAGTTCTGGGCAACGCCATAACAGAACCAACTAAAATTAAAAGGATAGTATCAGAATACTATAGTTCTTCATAGTATCCTGATATTATCCTTTAATTTCTGTTGGTTCTGTTGTGACACTGCCCAATTCATTTCTTATTCATGTTATTTGTATTTTCTTCCTCTTTTTTTTTTGTTGTCAATTTTAGTAATCTTTTCAAAGAACCAACTTCTAGTCTTGATTTTTTTTCTATTGCCTTTCTATTTTATGCTTCATTTAATTCTGCTTGAATCTTTATTATTTATTTTCTTCTGGTGACTGTAGGCTTTTCTTTGTTGTTCTTTTTCTAATTGTTGGAGATGTTAGGTTAAGGTGTTGATTTTGACTCTTGTTTCTTTTTTGATGTGTATATTTATTGCTATAAATTGCTCTCTGATGACTACTTTTTCTGTGTCCCAAAGATTTTCATATGTTGTGTTTTTGTTCTTGCTTGATTCAAGGAATTTTTTAATTTTGTTTTTTTAAATACTTAGTCATTTTTAAGGAGGGTGTTACTCAGTTTCCATGTGTTTGTTCTTTCTCCTCTAATCTTTCCTAGTGTTGATTTCTAATTTTTAGCATTGTGATCTGAGAAGATGCTTTGCAGTATTTCAATGTTTTTAATTTATTGAGGCTTGCTTTGTGGCCTAACATATGGTCTATCCTGGAGAATGTTCCATGAACACTGGAAAAGAATGTATATTGGGCTGTTTTGGAGTAATTTGCTCTATAGATGTCTATAAGGTCAAGTTGGTTGATTGCATTGTTTGGTTGTTCTGCAGCTTTGTTGAGTTTCTTTCCAGTTCTATCTTTCATTGAAAGTGGTGTATTAAAGTCTCCTACTATTACTATGGAGTCATCTATTTGTCTTTTCAATTCTGTGAAAGTCTGATCTATATATTTTGGGGCTCTTTCATTGGGTGCATAGATATTTATTATAGTTATGTCCTCTTTTTTCAACTGATCCTTTAATCGTTATATAATGTCCTTCCTTGTCTCTTATGGTGGTTTTTGTCTTAAAGTCAATTTGATCAGAAATTAATTATTGCCACTCCTGCTCTTTTTTGCTTGCCATTTGTTTGATGTATCTTTTTCCAACCTTTGATTTTTAGTCCATTTTTGTCTTTGTCTCTAAGGTTTGTCTCCTATAGACAGCATATAGATGGATTGTATTTTCTTATCCTGTCTGCAACTCTCTGCCTCTTGAGTGGTGCATTTAATCCATTTACATTCAGTGTAATTACCAACAAGTATGAATTTGTTGATGTCATTTTGTTATGTGTTTTTTTGTGGTGCTGCTGATTTCTTTGTTCTGTATAATGTTCTGTGCTGAGGTCATTTTGTTTATGAAACATACTATCAATTCCTTCATTGGTGTTGCTTCAGTATTTGGTAAATAATTGTGCTTGTCCTCTGTTTTATTTTGATGAGACGGTTTGTTATTTTTTCTGAAGTTACCCCGTGTTTATAATTTTCTTCCCAAGTTTGGAACAGTCCATTCTTCTTGCAATTGTCTTGACTTCCTGATCATTTAGAAGTTCTGTAACTACACTATTTTCCCTCCCTTTTTGGTTTGTAGTTGCTCTCATTTTCCAATTGATGTCTCTGATTCTCTGTTTACAGTCTTGTAAGCTTATTTTACTTTGGATACCTCCATAACTGAGTTGGTTTCTGGGTTATGTCATCATGTGTATTAATTGTCAGTTGTTGTTTGCTGTTGTTGGTTCTCTGTCCAAAGGACTCCCTGTAGCATCTTTTGTAAGGTTGGTAGGTTTTTACAAATACCCTTAATTTCTGCTCATCTGGAAAGGTCCTAATTTCACTATCATATTTGAGGGATAATTTTGCTGGGTATATAATTGTTGGTTGGAAATTTTTTACTTTCAGAGTTTTATATATACTATCCCATTGCCTTCTTGCCTTCATGGTTTCAAGGCAGCAAGATTCAGACACCACACACCACACTTATTCTGGTAGTACCACCTCCTACACTAGCTTGGAGGCAGATTTGGGATGTCAGCTCAGAGAAATTATACTACATTCTTTTGGTTCACACATTCTCCAAATCCAAATAAAAAATAACAGTACCTACCTCCCCGGCTTTCCTGATTGTCAGGAAATTATGAAAAACTTAAAATTCCTTTAAGATTGTATAGACTTTTACAATTATTACAGTTCTGTATTACAATCTAATGTTTTCTTTTAAAGATTGTAGCCAACAATACTATCAACTGCAAAAATATCCTTCCTGGAACTCTTAATAAAAGGAGACTGATCTGTAAGGTTTGTGTCCTTAAACATTAACCATCAATACATCATAAACTTAGGTTTGTAATGGCTGTCCATTTTGAAGTTAACTTAAAAATGTTATTGTACTATCCTGACAACCTAAAGAAAATGAAAAGAAACACTGTTCCACATACTACTTTGCTGCGTAGCAACTAGGATCTTAAAAGCTTGCAAGCGGCTATCTAGATGCAATGATGGGTCTCTCCACATTCAGAGGAAAGAAGAATGAAAAAAACCAAAGATGCATGGAAACAATTAGTCCAATGGACTGGTATACCATGACATCCTCAGCTGGTATGACCATGAGACCAGAAGAACTAGATGGTACCCAGCTACCACTGTCAACCACTCAGAGGGGGAATCTGTGTAGGAGATTTTGGATAGAGTGGGAGAACAATGTGGAACAAAACTCAAAATCATTAAAAAAAAAAAAAAACCAGCCAGGTTTGCTGGTCTGACAGAGCTTGGTGGAACCCAAGACTACGGCTCTTAGCTGCCCCCCCCTTCAGGTCTGGAATTGAATGTACTCCTGTGGCTTCCAGCTAAATAAAAGACCAGCATATGGACTGAACATTTACATCAGGCAGATACACTCTTTGGAGAGATCAATCATAGGAGAACAGAAGGGTAGTATATATACAGGGAGATGGCTACATGGGTAGGAGTGTATGAGAGGGAAGGACACAGGGAAGCGGTAACCATGGGGAGGAAGTGGGAGGGGAGCTGTTACACTGTGGGAAATTGTAGTCAATGTCATGAGACAAAATGTCTATGAACTGGTGTATGGAAAATGAATTTGCTCTGTAAACTTTCACCCAAATCACAATAAAAATTTTTAAAAAAAGTAAAACTTGTGAAAATTTACTTTTCCCCTTAACTATTTCAAAATTGAATATGATGCTTCCAAGTTATATCTAGTACCTATACAAAAATACATGCATTAAGTTTTCAAAAAAACATGCATTAAGTTTTCATTCACTTCCTTTCACTCCTAAACAACTTCAAGTTCAGGGTTAAATTCACATATAACTGGAAAAGACTTCTTTTGCCCAGCTCCCCCTCCCCCCTTTTTGATAAAAAACCTAATTAAGCACCGGGTAGTCAAGCCACTCACCATGTGTTTGGCAAAGCTCCCACCAGGGCCAGTGCTGCGTACCAGGTGCCCTTCTGAAGGGAAGTTAAAGTTGCCAGCATTCAGGTTTTCTCGTGTGGAGTGATTACCAAAGAGAACAAATGGCTGCCTATTAGGACTAGAGTGGCAAGTCAAAAACATGTGATTAGAAAAGTGATACTTGGCCAGGGGGGCAATTTCTCACGTCCTCAGTGAATTCTCAGGCTTTTCTAAGTGGCATCCTGTAGTCTGAGGAAAGTGGGCAGTATATATAGTCCACCTAACACTGTGGGCTGGCTGGGTAGGAATGCCAGATGTCTGACTCCCTCTACTGACTCACAGGGATAAGCCATGTAGGGACATAACTAAATCCAATCAGGTTTATATATTTGGCTTGTCACATGTCTTTAGGAATAATGCCTATACATTTGCTGTCCATGATGTAGTGTTAGAAAAAAGTCCCAGTTTTATAAAATAGCATTTTAATAGGTACACAAACTTTAAAGAATGATACTAGTGGTACTTAAACTACAGAGCACTTATCAAGTCCTGAGTAACTTTCAGGAGGAAAGGAGGAGAGGATGATTGGAAATGTTCTCACCAACACACTTACTTGCCCTGGCACCTATCTCCTCCTCCTCCTCCCTCTCTTGGCCAGACTTTTTTTTTTTTCCCCCACTGTCCGCTCATTCTCAAATCCACTCTAATCTACTTCCTCAGCATTTCAGAGCTTTTGTAAACATCACCAAATGACTTTCATATAGCATGTAGCTAAGCCAATGGACAGCCTTCAGCCTTTGCTTCCTTACTCTCTCAAAAGTATCTGACACACTTCCATCCAAAGAGCTGTCACCTCTCAGTTTCCTTTAGCAATCACCCTCCTCCTCTACTTGGCTTCTGAATAGTGCTAGAGATTTACCTTCATTATCTGCTCTTTTCTCTCCTCTCTCATGATCTCCCTAAAGCTGCTTCCCCTCCATACATGGTACCATCATTCATCCAGGGATCATGTCAGACCTGAGAGGCCTCCTTGAATTGTGCTGCTCCCTGACCCCATAAACCAAGTAAGCCTACCAAATTACATTTCTATTTGTTCATTTCCCTCCACCTACACGGGCACAACCCTCATCTATGCGATCAACTGCCAATGTTTTATCATTGTTTACCTGCCCAACATAGCAAGTACAATGTGGAACCTGGAGTCAGACCTGGCTGCCTCTTCAAAACTTTCTTTGGAAAAAGAAATTAGCAATCAGCTATCTCAATTACCAAGGCAATTTAGATGATTTATATATGGCAAATGGTGCTGTCAAGTCCCCTTACTTGAAGAATAGTGATAATTTATCTTGTGAATATGTATGAAATGGATTGCATCTGCTTGGCTATGTAAAAGGATAAAATTTCTTTGTCTTTGCAATCTCTTTAGCAGATTGCTTGTGATGTGTGTCACATTCTGGTTTAATGCTTATTAAATGTCTTAAAAGGTCATTTCCTATAAAATTATAAGAAAACAAAACAAGTAAGTGAAGGAGAAAAGTTTACAGAGTATATCTCTTATTTTCTGATGACTAAAGTCAATTCACAGATTTTCCTGATTCATGGCTTCCGGAATTACAGGCTCCCCCATACCTACTCCACATCTTTTGTCTATCCCATTTTCTTTATTACCATTTATTTTTCTTCTCTGAGAACTTTACCTGTTTTCAGTTATATGGCTGGAGATCATTCCATGACTGAAGTAACTTCTGAATGGCTAAAAAGAAGTCAACAGTGCATATATTAAGATCACAGTTTTAGAAATAATCATAAAAAATCCTCATATATATATGTATATACACAAACATATATACACAATACATATTGTGATACACACACACATACACATATATATACATACATACATATGTATCCATATATAACTTAAAGGATACTGACAGGAATTTCTCAGAAAAAAATCACAGAAGACAAATACTATATAAGTCCACTATTATAAAAAGTCAAGGGAAAGTTAACACATGGAAGGATACTTTCTTTGTTGGTTACTAGGGATGAGAGAGGAAGGCAGGAAAAATTGCTAGATAGGTAAGAGAGACATACTGATTTGGGTAAAGGAACAGACAATATACCAAAAGTGGGTGACCAGCACAGTATCACTAAGGAAAAGGAAGACACAGAGAGCTGCATAAGAGGTACAGACAACAAAGGTAAATATTATTACATACACAATACTGCATATCAATAAAAATAAAACATTAATCTGGTGGCTACATAGGTAGACAGGCAAGATGATCAGGTATGGATAGGTGAATGGGAATATACCCATGTCTATATATAGGTCTGGCAGATGAAATTTCTATATATGTATTTGTATGTGCTATAAAAATGCCCATGTATGTAATAGAGTAAACGGGGGCAATGTTATGATAATTTCTTAGTCACTGCCAACATCAAGCTCAATTGGCATAACATAGTACAACATTGTTCTACGTACTACTTTGGTGAGTAGCAACTGGGGTCTTAAAAGCTTGCAACAACTGGTCTCTCCTTGTCTGGAGAAAAGAAGAGTGAAAAAAATCAAAGACGCACGGGAACAAGTAGTCCAAAGGACCCTGAGCCCAGAAGAACTAGATGATGTCTAGCTATCACTGCCAACCAGAGGGAAAGGGATCAAAATTGGAGATTCCAGATAGAATGGGAGAAAAATGTGGAATAAAATTCATAATCATAACAAAGACCAGGCTTATTGGTCTGATAGAGACTAGTGAAACCCCCCAGACTATGGCCCCTAGTCATCCTTCAGGCCTGGAACTGAACTCACTCCCATGGCTCAACCTTTAGCCAAACAACAGACAAGCCTGCAAGGTGAACAATTATATTGAGGAGGTTCATTCCTTAGACAAATTAACCATAGGAGATCAGAAGGGCAGCATTTGTAGAAGAAGAAAGCTCAGACAGCAGGACTACACTGGAAAGAAAGACACAGGGAGAAAGTAACCACAGGGAAAAAGTGGGAAGACAGCTATTACATTTTGGGAATTGTAATCAGTGTTACTGAACAAAATGTGTATGAACTGTTGAATGGAATATGAATTTTCTCTGTAAACTTTCACCCAAATCACAGTAAAAAGTTAAATAAATTAAAAAAATTAACAGCCATACAAGTGGCAAGAAAAATGTGACTCATAACCAGGAGAAAAATCAGTCAACAGAAATATACTGAGAAATGGGCAGTAGGCAAGAGCTGAATTCTGAATGGCTCATTTGCTTGTGGCTTAAAATTAAGACCAACATACAAGGAAAAATCAACTCTAGCTCCAAATGATCAAGAGCAGGGACTGTTCTGGGCCATGATGGTATACAGAAGAACTGAAACTGGTGGTGCAAGCCCAAGGTGAGCTTAAGGGAGCTCAAAGCAGCTCTCTGATCTTTCCCGTTGACTGGTCTTTTGGACTGTCCTGTGTTGGTTTCTCAATTTAGATACTTGAATTCATGGAGTGGACCTAGGCCTGAACCTGGGTAACTCCTCCTCACCATATATATTTTTAAGGGTGTCTGGTGGCATAGTGCCTAAGGCATTTGACTACTAACCAGAAGGCTGGCAGTTCAAACCCACCAGCCATTCCTTGGAAGGACAATCAGGCAATCTACTTCTGTAGAGATACCACCTTGGAAACCCAAGGAGGGGTCACTATGAGTTGGATTTGATGCGACAGCAGTGAGCTCCATCAGTCTCTACTAGACCAGTAAGTTTGTTCTTTTTTAAGATTTTGAATTTTGTCCTACATTTTTCTCCCACTCTGTCCAGGACTTTTTATTGTAATCCTGACCAGAATGCTGCTCAGTAGTGGTTACTGGGCACCATCTAGTTTTCCTGGTCTCAGGTTAGTAGAAGCAATGGCTTGTGTGGTCCACTGGTCCTTTGGATCAAATGTTCCCTTGTAGCTTTGATTTTCTTCACTCTTTGCTCCAGATGGGAAGAGATCAATAGTTGCATCTTAGATAGGTGCTGACAAGCTTTTAAGAGTCCAGTAGCAACTGGACTCAGCAAAATAGGACACAGAACACTGTCTTTATGGAGTATGTTATACCAATTGACCTAGACGTCCCCTGAGACTATAGTTCTACTTCTCACCATTAATTGTGGTTTGCCTGGAAAAAAAGCTTGTCATTACCTGGAATTCAACTGACAAAACTGTGTTACTCACATGTGGAGAATTATTCTAAGACTTAATAACTAGGTTTAAATTCTATTAAGTGTCCAACAGAACTCCTAGCTGACAGAGGTACTACCACACTGAAAAGTGATTATCTTTTTTACTGAGATGCTGACATAGGAAAAAAAATCAACTTTTTATACAGGAGTTAGCATGGGCAGTAGAGGGACTTGTTTACAGCATGTAACAAAGGAAATGATAACCAAAACAAATTAGGATAGCTTCATATTTTAAAAAATGACAACAATAAACAAATCAACCAAAAATTTCTTCTTTATTCTTAACCATTCTCTTACATACCTCACCCGCTTGAGATTCAGAAAGTTCCAGCAGGAAAGGGATTTCTGTGTCAAAATTAGCAAAGAAGCTAGTCCACTGATGTTCAAAAGTCACTAAATCCTAGGAAGAAAATGAAAAAGATAATCTGGTCATATAATGAAGGTACTTTAGAAAAACTGAATCATGAAACTACATCTAACTTCAAAAAACTAGAACATTTAAATATGTTGTTTTAAAAGACAAACTCAAAAATATGCCAAGTGAAAGAAGCTAGACACAAAAGACTACTTGGTACATGATTCCATTTATATGAAATATCCAGAAAAGGCAAATCTAGAGACAGAAAGTAAATTAGTGTTTGGCTGGGGTGGAAGTGGGAATGAAGACTGATGGCAAGTGGACAAGAGACATCTTTTTGGATTGACACAAATATTCTGTAACTGGATTGTTGCAATGGCTTCATAACTCTGTAAATTTACTAAAACTCATTGAATAGTACACTTAAAAGGAGTGAATTTCACGGTACATAAATTACACCTCAATAAAGCTTTTTTTTTTTTTTTTAAAAAAAAAGGAGCAATAGCCCCCAAGTGCCTTACTTCAGTAACCCTTACTGTTGTTGCTGTTGTGGGGTGCCATTGAGTCATCTCCGACTCATAGTGAGCCTATGCACAGCAGAACAAAACACCACCTGGGCCTGAGCCAGCTCCATGATTTTTGCTATACTTGAACCCATTGCCACTGCCACCATGTCAATCCATCTCACTGAGGGCCTTCCCCTCTTTCATTGACCTTCCACCTTATCATGCATGACATCCTTTTCCAGGGAAGAGTCCCTTCTGACAATATGACCAAAGCATGTGAGACGAAGTCTGGCCATTCTCGCCTCTAAGGAGCATTCTGGCTGCACTTCTTCCAGGACAGACCTGTTAGTTCTTTTAGCAGGCCATGGTACTTTCAGCATTCTTTGCCAACACCATAGCTCAAAAGCATCAATTCTTCTTTGGTCTTCTGAAGAATCACATATGAGGTGATTAAAAACACCATGGCTTATGTCAGGTGCACCTTAGTGCTCAAGGAGACATCTTTGCTCTTCAGCACTTGAAAGAGGTCCTTTGCAGCTGATTCGCCCAGTGTTACATGTTGTCTGATGTTCTGACTGCTGCTTCCATTGGCACTGATTGTACAACCAAGGAATGTGAAGTCTTTGAAAATTTCAACTTTTCTCTATCGTAATGCTGCTTATAGATCCAGTTGTGAGGATTCTTGTTTTCTTTATATTGAGATGTAATCCATACTGCAGACTGTATTCTTTAACCTTCATAAGTAAGTACTTCAAGTCATCCTCATTTTTAGCAAGCAAAGTTGTGTCATCAGCGTATCGCAGGTTGTTAATGATTCTTCCTCCAATCCTGATGCCATGTTCTTCTTCATGCAGTACAGCTTCTTGGATTATTTGCTCAGCATACAGACTGAATAAGTATAGTGAAAGGATACAACTCCCTTCTTGATTTTAAACCATGCAAGTGTTCCCTTTTTCTGCCTGAACGACAGCCTCCTGGTCAATGTACAGGTTCTTCATGAGTAAAATTAAGGGTTCTGGAATTTTCATTCTTCTCAATGTTATCCACAATTTGTTATGATCCACACAACCAAATGCTTTTGCATAGTCAATAAAACACAAGTAAACATCTTTCTGGTATTCTTTGGTTTCAGCCAGTATCCATCTCACATCACCAATGATATCCCTCATTCCACATCCTCTTCTGGATCCAGCTTGTATTTCTGGAAGTTCTCTGTCAACATACTGCTGTAACCATTTTTGAATTATCTTCAGTAAGATTTTACTGAAGATAATGCTATATTAATGCTGTATTAATGATATTGTTTGATAATTTCCACATTCTGTGGGATCTCCTTTCTTTGGAATGGGTACAAATATGGATCTCTTCCAGTCAGTTGGCCAGGAAGCTGTCTTCCAAATCTCTTGGTGTAACTGAGTGAGTGCTCCAGCGGGGCATCCATTTGTTGAAACATCTCAGTGGGTATTCCGCCAATTCCTGGAGCCTTGTTCTTTGCCAATTCTTTCAGGGCAGCTTCGACTTCTTCCTTCAATACCATTGGTTCTTGAACATATGCCACCTCCTGAAATGGATGAAGATCGACCAGTTCTTTTTGGTACAGTGAGTCTGTGTATTCCTTCTATCTTCTTCTTCTTTTTAATGTATTTTATTGAAATACAACTTATGTACAGTGAAATATACAAAACTAAAGTGACATGAATCAATACATTTTTTTTTTTCAGTGTTCCCTCCTCTCCCCTCCCACCCCTGGCAACCAACAAAGAAAGTTTCCCTCCATATATAAACCTTTCCTTTACCCTCCACGACAATGGACTAATACTATATTTGTCCTTCTGTGACTGACTTATTTCACTCAGCATAATGTCCCCCAAGTTCATCCATATTATGCGGTGTTTTGCAGATTCTACATTATTCTTTAGTGCTGCATAGCATACACTTACCACCTACCTGTCTCCTTTCCTGTTGTTAGCCTCTCATATGCTGCTGCTGAACTTGGCAAACAGAGCCTATTCTTAGGTCCCTGGAATCCGAATGAGAATGCTATCACTTTAAAATCCAAAATGGTTGCCACTTGTAAAGATTCAAATGGCTGCGCCCTTGGTCACTTTAAATATCCAAAATGGCTGCTGCGTGGAAACAATCAAAATGGCTGTGCCCTCCAGACAGCAGAAAGTCAACAGCTCAGATTGTCTCCCTCCTTGCTGTTACCATTACTAGTCATAGGCCACCAGCACAGTTGTCCCTGCAGCCCTTGGTGACCAGGGCTGATAGGTCAGTTCTCAGGTCCCAACATCACTTGGGCTGTTGGTCCTGAAAGAGTAGCTGACAGTCCACAGCTCTGACCGTCTCTGTACTCTCTGTTTTCATTCAGGTTTTTCCACTAGTTGGTGCCTAATCTACTTCTGTATATATAGTTCCTTTCAAAGCTCAGGGCTCCAGGATTATCTTCTGTATCTCTGTCAATTCCTTCTATCTTCTTTTGATGCTTCCTGCATCATTCAATATTTTACCCATAGAATCTTTCAATATTGCAATATTTTTTCCGCAGCTCTTTCAGCTTGAGAAATGCTCATTTTGTTTTTCTAACTCCAAGTCTTTGCACATTTCATTACAGTAATTGGCTTTGTCTGCTCGAGATGCTCTTTGAAATCTTCTGTTAAGCTCTTTCATCTTGTCATTTCTTCCATTTGCTTTAGCTACTCTTCACTCAAGGGCAAGTTTCAGAGTTTCTTCTGACATCAATTTTGGTCTTTTCTTTCTTTCTCGTATTTTTAATGACCTCTTGCTTTCCTCATGGATGATGTTCTTGATGTCATCCTATAATTCTTTTGGGTTTTGGTCACTGCTGTTCAATGCATCAAATCTATTCCTTAGATGGTCTCTAAATTCAGGAGTGATATAGTCAAGGTCATATTTAGGCTCTCGTGGACTTGTTTTAATTGTCTTCAACTTCAAGTTGGACTTGCATATAAGCAGTTGATGGTCTGTTCCACTATTAGCCCCTGGCCTTGTTTTGGCTGAAGATATTGAGCTTTTCCATTTCCTCTTGCACAGATGTAGTCAATCTGGTTCCTGTGTATTCCATCTGGTGAAGTCCACGTGTATAGCCACCATTTGTGTTGCTGAAAAAAGATATTTGCAATGAGTAAGTCGTTGGTTTTGCAAAAATTCTATCATGCAATCTCCAGTGTTATTTCTGTCACCAAGGCCAAATTTTACAACTACTAGTGATTCTTCTTTGTTTCCAACTTTTGCATTCCAATCACCAGTGATAAGCAACACATCTTGATTGCATGTTCAGTCAATTTCGGACTGCAGAAGTTGATAAAAATCTTCAATTTCCTCATATTTGGCTTTGGTGGTTGGTGCATAACTTTGAACGATAGTAGTATTAATGGGTCTTCCTTGTAGATGTGTGGATATTATCCTATCACTGACAGCATTGTACTTTAGGACAGATCTTGAAACATCCTTTGTGATGATGAATGCCACGCCATTCCTCTTCAATTTGTCATTCCTGGCATAGTAGATCATATGGTTATCTGATTCAAAATGCCCCAAACCCATCCATTTCAGCTCACTAATGCCTAGGATACCAATCTTCATGTGTTCCATTTCATTTTTGACAACTTCCAATTTTCCCAGATTCATACTTTGTATATTCCATGTTCTGATCATTAATAGATGTTTGCAGCTGTTTCTCCTCAATTTGAGTCATGCCACGTCAGTACATGCAGGTCCTAAAAGACTTACTTTATCCATATCATTAAGGTTGGTTCTACTCTGATGAGGCAGCTCTTTCCCAGTCCTATTTGGAGTATGTTCTGACCCAAGGGGCTCATCTTCCTGCACTGTGTTGGACAATGTTTCCAAGCTATTCATAAAGTTGCCCAGTTATGTATCAGACAGTGTATCTCTAGTATTCACAAAGTTTTCCCTGGCCAGTTTTTGAGAAGTGGATGGCCTCCTCCTTCTTCCTATTCTGTCTTAGTCTGTAAGCTGCATTGAAACCTGTGCGCAATGTGCAACTCTGCTGGCATCTGAAACACCAGTGGAACAGCCTCAAGCCTCACAGCAATGTACAAGCTCCACAGGATGACAAATTGACAGACAACTCTGTCTCCCTTAGCTGTGCCCTCCCCTTACCTAAGTCCTACCTGGAACCTGCCACTTTGTGGTTCCTGGCTGTTCCTGCTCCCTCCCTTTACTGGCTCTAGGGGGTTTGGGACCTAGCCTTGCCTCGCACCCCTTTACCTGGATATCCTGCTGCTCCTGAGGTCCCTGGCCACTCCTGCTCCCTCCCTTTACTGGCTCTAGGGGGTTTGGTACCTAGCCTTGCCTCCCACCCCTTTACCTTATTAGAGGGAGTTATTTATGAGGCACCCAACAGATGGTACTACATCCAATGACAAAAGGGTCACATCAGTGAAGTTCCATTCAAGTATTAGGACAAACTCAACTTTTAATTTGCTGACCTTATCAAGAATGTCAGGGGAGCCAGGGACAGCACAGAACCTTCTTCTCCTTCATACCCTC